TTATACATGGGTAGTGCTGAGGGGTGTTTTCTTAATTTGGAGTCCCCCAAAATTGGGGGTATCTTATACATGGGGGCGTCTTATAGACAGAAAAATACAGTATATACTGCTTGATTGTAAGAAAGCCTTTAAGTGGTTTTTACATGTTGGCCATCTGTACAAAACTGTTTTCATTCTTGCCGCCACACTCATTTTCCTCTCTGCATTGATTTCAGACTTACTTTATATGGTGCCATGCAAAGGACTGCACCCAGGTTCACCACAACTTCACCAGGTAGGAAAACAGAAGCATGAAGCCTTTACAAATCATAATGGTGAAACGGGAGCAGTGGGGGCTCACTTCATAACAGAGGCAAAGAACCTGTGGCCTATCAGGTGTTATGGCCCCAACTCTCATCAGCACCAACAGCCAACAAGGGATGATGAGAGTTGAGAGAACAGCATCTCATAGGGCCACCAATTCCCCACCCCTAACAAAATTAAGTACTTTGTCACACAACACATAGCTAAACTATGGAATTTGCTCCCACTGGTAGCAATGGCCACCAACTCAGATGGTTTCAAAAGAGGATTAGACCAATTCGTGGACAATAAGTGGCCACTAGCCGCAATGGCTGTATTCTACCTCTACCATCAGAGTAGGCCTCTGAATACCAGTTGCCAGGAATCGCAAGTGGGGAGACTGGCACTCAAGTCCTGCTTTGGGGCAACTGGTATTCAATAAGCTTCTGGCTGGCCCTTGTGAGAATAGAGTGCTGGACCAAATAGGTCACTGGCCTGATCCAGCAGGTTTTTGCTATGCAGAATCTAGCACTAGTTATATAGGATTGCATCCAGTTGTTGCTCTACTAAGGGTAGACCCACAGCAGTTAACAGGCATAACTAAGGGTTGGTCATTTCAATGGGTCTACGTTGAGTAGAACCTAGTTGTCTGCAGCCCAAACTGTATTTACTGAAGTTTTATGATCAGAGGTTGATTCAAGGAAATGGCATTAAGGTGTTTAGGTTGTTTCTCTTGGGCTAGCCCTCCTCTCCCTTGCCTACTCATTCTCTCACTCACAAACACCTTTTACATTCAAAGTTTATTCTGCAGCTTTGCAGGCTAGGTAGGAACCTTTTTCATTAATGAAAGAGGAAGCCCTCAGGGTGCTGATCTCTGCTTCCGATGCCAGACTCCACAACTGGAACAGGATCATGGAGCTGGATTGCGTTAGCCACACAACTAAGGACTTTCACACAGCCGTTTGTCCTGCCAATTTTCCCCAGGTAAACTCTGCTCTTTACCACTGAATCAGAGAAAACATCAATTGGTCTTTCCACAGATTGAAGTTTGCTCCGATTTAGCCATAGAGAGCAGGTTTTCCTGGGAAAAGCCAAAATCCATTGGACCTGTGCTATCTGGGCATGGGACAAGCGAGAGTGTGGATGAGCCCTTAACTTTGCTATGTTAACTCAAACACTGAAAGGTCAGCCAAGTTCCTTATTCAGTTACCAACAAGAGAACTGAATACCAATACTGTGAGAACAGGTAGAATACAGCTTCATTAATAAAAGACCGATGTCAAAAGACTATAAATATGTGTTTCTTTTTTGACAGATGTGGGCTAATGCTGACCTTAGCCATTAACCTCTTGCTGTGGCTCTTAGCAGTGACCGATGACTCAGTTCACAAGGAAATTGAATCAGAACAAAATAATACCATACAGAGATATGAAGGCAAGGTTCAGTCTCTATTTTATTTTATTTTAAAGTGGGCAAGAGAGCCAAAAACAAGATACATTCTTCATCTTCTTAAAAAGGGTAGAGAAGTAGAATGGGGAACATGCCAGGTGAGCAGAAAGCTTTGCACATTTCCACACAGACAAACTGTGATTGTGAAGACATCACATGCAATAAGATGCTAACCTAGGTTATGAACCCTATTGATAGCTTAGGTGATCGAAAAGGAGGGTGGGTTATTTGCTCACTGAAATTAAGTGAGCCCTGATGGATCATTTATAGTCCAGCATCCTGTTTTCAACGTAGCCAAGCCCCACGATCTCAGGACTGGAAGATGTGTAAAGGTCACAGCCCAAAATGTATCTGCTTGGTTTGCATATTGTCTCAATAAAAGGAGGCTCCACAGGGCTGGTAGGCAGCTTGCATGCAGCTCACCTGTGCACAGCTCACTTGCATTATCAACTCCTGCCTCATGTCCATCACTTCAATAGAAACCCAGTCAATCTGATGCCTCCTTTCCCAACTGTATTGCAGAATTTAGAGTTCCAGTCCTGTACCTCGATGAGTAGGAGAGAGGGGAGAATGGTCCAACAGTAGTACCGTGATTGGTGGCTCCAGATATGTCCAGTTTCCTTGTAATGTGACAAACTGTAGTCTAATCACTGGATTACTTGGTCTGTGCCTGTCCTGATAACTTAAAATGCCAGTATTAAACAGACAAGAGCAGAAAACACACAGAGCTGCAATCAGGCGTAATTCACAAGGAGCCAAGAACAGAAATAGAGTCATGTGCCTTTCAAAAAGAAATGTGCGCCAATACTGATGGGTTAAGACAGAATTGCCCCATGCAGGTTGAGTATCAGCATTTGATTCCAGCACCTTTTCATGTGCAAACTTCATAGAAGTTTTCTTATAAGATCCTGCCATTCTCCCCATCTTATTCCAGGCAATGGGACCAGTTCCTGCAGGTGCTCCAACAAAACAGGCTGCAAGGTCTTCCAGAATGGCTATATTTTGCTGTACCCCTTCAACACAGAATACTGCCTGATCTGCTGCTCCATGCTTTATGTCATGTGGAAGAACGTGGGCCGGCGCATAGCTCAGCACCATAGTACTTGTGCCAAGCCCAGATTCAAACCCCATGGGGTCATTTTCGGGCCATTGCTGGGCATCTTCGCAGTGATCACTGGCATCTGCATTTTCATGGTGTATCAGGTCCAAGCCACCAGCTCCTCCCCGAGCCATCAAGCATTCATTCTCTATTATTCCTACTACATTGTTTTGTTGCCTGTGATGACACTAGGAGCCTTAATTGGAACCATCACCCATGGCTTAGAAGAGAGGGAGCTGGACACGCTAAAAAACCCAACACGAAGCCTCGATGTGATATTGCTCATGGGAGCAGCCTTAGGCCAGATCGGCATCTCTTACTTTTCCATTGTAGCCATTGTGGCCACAGACCCAACGGATTTGTTGAACAGCATCATCCTAGCCTATTCGGTGAGCCTCATCATTCAGCACATCACCCAGAACATCTTCATTATTGAGGGGCTCCATAGACAGCCACTGCCGGCAAATGAAGGTCGCAGCCAGGCTGAACATTCCAGGAATGGCTCTGCCTCAACCCAGAGCCCACCCAGTGAAGACATGATTGCATCCCCTGGCTGTCGAGAACCTGTCTCATCCGCAGCCAACAAGGAGGCAGATCCAAATGAAGGGGAGAAATGCGAACATGCTAGCGTCCCAAAAGTTTGCAACCCAGAGAGAAGGCAGGACATCCGGAAAGCTTCACAGACCTACATCCAGACCTACAGCCATTTGAACTGGAAGAGGAAAGCTCTGAAAGAGATCTCTAGCTTCTTGATCATGTGCAACATCATAGTAAGTGCTTGACTTCAGTGCATATAGAAAACTGAGGTGCGGATTGTAGTGAAGAGCCCCAAAGCCTGCCCAGGAACACGAGTGGCTCCCATCTCTAAACCTGAGGTATGCTGCCACCAGCCCTCACATTTCCCTCTTACTTTGAGACAAAGACAATTCTCAAAGCTACAAGCAGTTCGTATTAGTTAGGGCAGAGTTTGCCAACACACCATCTGTGGGCACCACTGTGCTTGTTAGTAACTCCTAGGGCACCCATGAAATATGTCTTCTAAAATCCACAATGGCTTGCTCTTCCTTAATATAAGGGTCGGGGCAGGGTTTTTTTTTCTAGTCGGAGCTCAGCTCTGGCACCTCTCAGGTGGGCGTCATTGCCATTCGAAGAGAACGAGGGAGACGTTCATGGTGAGCTCTGGCATCTCTTTCTAGGAAAAACAGTACTGGGAGGGAGGGGTAAGAAAACAAGAGGATAGATAGACCTTTGTATATGGGATCACACTAGCAGCAGGAGACAACCCTGGCACATGGAACCAAGGCTGCTTTGATTTTCAGGTCACTGGAAAAGGAGGAACAGGAAGTGGGGGCCTAAATCAAAGGCAAAAAATACATTGAGCTATCTCCATATTAACTGTCCCCCTTCCCTGAGCTGCAATTGACAAACATTCTCTGATTTTTGCTCTTTTCACACCCCTTTTCAGTTGTGGATCATGCCATCATTTGGAGCGCATCCGGTGTTTGAGAATGGAATAGAGAAATCATTTTATGGCTACTCTACCTGGTTTGTTATCGTCAATTTCGGGCTTCCCTTGGGTGTGTTCTACAGGATGCATTCCGTTGGCGATCTTCTGGAGGTGTACCGATCTGCTTGAACTCAACTCAAGCCTTCATACATGGACAGCAGAGTGAAAACTTCACTGAAATATTTATGGAAACCAGTAACTGTTATGAGAATATGACATTAAAAAGTGGAAATTGTGGCTACGGTTTGAACAGTTTACGACACTGGGGTGGGGGAATCAAAGTAAATTTAACCTTCTTGGTACATAGCCTACTATGTCATGGGAGAATGCACATCCCATAACAGATTATTATAGAACTGACACATTCTGTGTACATTATAACCTCTAATTACAATTATGCTAGTAAGGTAAAGGGACCCCTGACCATTAGGTCCAGTCGTGGCTGACTCTGGGGTTGCGGTGCTCATCTCGCTTTATTGGCCGAGGGAGCTGGCGTACAGCTTCCGGGTCATGTGGCCAGCATGACTAAGCCACTTCTGGCAAACCAGAGCAGCGCACGGAAACGCCATTTACCTTCCCGCCGGAGCGGTACCTATGTATCTACTTGCACTTTTACGTGCTTTCGAACTGCTAGGTTGGCAGGAGCAGGGACCGAGCAACGGGAGCTCACCGCGTCGCGGGGATTCGAACCACCAAACTTCTGATCGGCAAGTCCTAGGCTCTGTAGTTTAACCCACAGTGCCACCCGCGTCCCTGCAATTATGCTAAACAACCATTAATGAGAAACACAAGACTTGGAAGATGTGGGAACTGAGCTGGGCCCAACAATCCCTTCGGCAAAACTGTCACCTTCCATGAATATGTCAGTCCTTTAGGGTGCAAGAACCAGCCTTCAGAGACTGAGAAGCGGGTCGCCAGAGGCATTTTGAAAAGGACATGGTAAGCGAATACTCATGTTAACACCCACCCACATCTAAAGAGTTAACAAACCACAATGTCTGAATTTGATGTATGTCTGGCAGGTCCAGAGATGCTTCTGGTGTTTTGTCCTTCATGTTGCCTCAATAGGCATATAACGCAAGTAGTAATGCTCAGGAAGACTGAAACATAACCAGGTATCAAGCAGAAAAGGAGCAAGAAAATCTGTAACACCAGTTTTCCAATATTGTCTTCAAAGTAACTACTGTATTTGAGGGAAAGATGATTTGAGTTCTGATCTCTGCTGACACTGGGCTATTATCCTTTTATTGTCAGGGGTTTACAACAATTAATAGGACTTTAGGGGGTGTGGAAAGGGACAAAGTACCCTCAGGATACTCACATTGCCTCAATAGTTGTCCCATTCCCACTGGAAAGCCTTGTTTAGAGGACGCCCCCAGGACATGATGGAATAAGACAAGGAGTATAAAGTGTTCAGAATGTAATCACACATTTTTTAAGTTAGCATGAGCCAATAGTCTAATTCTGTTTCCATGATTTATTTAGTAATACTGAACTGGGAACAGATAGATTTTAAGAGATGTGATGTATAGTTTTGAAGACATTGCATTCGATCTGTAGCAATAGTGATGGCACTGTGGCGAACCTTGAAAAGCCACATCATTAAGCAGTTAATATGGCTAGCTAAATGTTCAAAGTTTATTGCATGTGCAATCTGCATTTCACCCGTGTTCAGGACACAGCGAAGCCAGTAAAACACAATGAAAAGCTGCCTCTAAATTATAATAGGTCTTGGCTCAACCTAGTGATCCATTATATAAAGGATTAAAAGCTGCTCCTGGCGTTGCAATCAATTCATCTTTTAGCACTATCTAAATCCTTCTTGTTGCCGAAGGCTAATAGATGGAACTGTAAACATCTCGTTTTATTACTCTCTTGCAAATTAAACCACTCTCAAGCAATTTCTTGGTCAAGGTATGGGCTTGATGTCCTTTTTAAAAATAATAATAATAAAGAGTTATGAGAGGCAAAAACAGTATGCACAGGTCTTAGGTTCCCATGCCTGTCAAACAGTGTGGAGACTATTTCACTTGGACTTATAGGGCAAAAGGTCTTACGCTTTTGGACTTTGCATCTCTGTTAATTTTACCCAGCCTTATGTCAACAGGAACTGTCAGAAGAAATAAAAGCTGGATAAATTAGCACTCTTAAAAGTTAATTATTACCACAATCCTCATGGGCAAAAGCACAGGATCCCATCAAAGGAGCTTACTGAAGGTTAGTCCTCTTTTTAAATGAAGAATTAGGGAAAGGGTTATAGATCTTGCAACAAAGAACTCTGTATGTGCAAGGGAGGCTGCCTGGACTGGAGTATACACACGGGGAGCTGGGCCTGTCCTACGACAGTTAAGTTCAAACAGATCCATTGCATAAGCTGGTCAGGATTTTAAACATCCCATTCAAATTCCCACATTCCTATCAGAACATGTTCATGTTCAATGCTTTTGGTTTCCCATATTGCTCTGCAGATGGACTTCTTCTGCACACCCTAATTTGACAAACCCGTAAGCTTGTTGCAGGCGTGGAGGAGTGGATGGGTGAGGACCCCTAAGCTACATTTAAACCCTGTCGAGACGGAGGCCTTGTGGGCGAGTGGCTGCTGCATCCAAGAAACAGGAGAGTTACCTGCTCTGGATGGGGCTTCACTCCCTTCTGAATGAACAAGAATGGAGTCCTGCCATGCTCCTGGATCCCTCTTTGTCACTGGAGCCACAGGTAGCCTCGGTTGCTAGGAGTGCCTTTTACCAGCTTCATCTGGTAAGACCATAGTGGCCACTGGAGTTAGGGACCTCAAGATTGGATGCCTGCAACGCACTGCATGGGGGGGGGGATTCCCAGAAAGCTGCAGCTAGTGCAGAATGCAGCAACCAGGCTGTTAACTGCAACATCTTCCCAATAGCATATAGCACCTCTGCTAAGAGAACTGCACTGACTGCCAAAATGCTATAGGGCTCAGTTCAAGAGTTTGCTTTCCGTGTTTAAAGCCCTATGCAACCTGGGGCCAGGTTACCTGAAGGACATCTTGCCATGTATATCCTTGCTCAGCAATTGCATTCCTCTGATGGGGTGTTGTTAAGAGTTCTGAATATCCCAGAAGTACATCTGATCTCAACTTGGGAAGAGGGCTTTAGTGTTGTGGCTGTAGCTCTAAGTAATCAGCCTCCCACTGAACAGACGCGTGCTTAGCATCTTTACTTTTAGCAGCTACTGAACACTTATCTTTTTAAGACGTTTCTTATCTTTTTAAGAAAGTCAAAATGACCCAGCCATTTCATACTGGATTACATTACACAGAATTTTACAGATATGCTTTAAAAAACAGTTGTGTATATTTCGTTGCTTATGAATTTTTAAAATATATTTCTGTTGAGCGCTGCTTCAGAAACATTTGTTGGGAAGCAGTTTAAAAACCCTTGAATAAATATGGCACCCAGTTGGAGCCTACATTCACCCTACGGCTTTCTGTTAATCGGTGCAAGGGACTGTGCAAATGCTCTGAACTTATCTGTGACATCTCTCTCCAGGTGCTGCTTCCAGTTTAGCAGTCGTGTTGAATCGGGAACTCCTGTGCAGCCATGCCTTTAATGGAAAGTTACATGTTGCAAAGGACGCCAGATCATCATAAATCAAACAGTACCAAACAAACTCATAAACCTTCTGGAGATACAGACACAGAGGAAAGCCCATTGCGGTGTTTTAAGATAATTTTATCTCTATATGTAAAGCAAATAGTTTACAGTGCAACTCTGATTTTTCATGGAACAAAGAGCAGACCTGCAACACCAACGAATGCAAAAGTCAAGATAAATTCACAAGGAACAACCCACATTGACACAAAATAAAAAGATGGGGTGCTCACAAAAGCGTCTCTGTGTGAAAGGGAATGGGACAGATCAGTGTCTGGTACAGTGTGATACACTCAGCCAGACCCTTGCCAGAGCACTACCAAATCACATTTGAGAAATCAAAGACATTCCAGGGAAAGTATGAACTTCAGTCTGCCAGTGGAGGTGGATGGTGAGATGAATAGATTAGTTTTGCCAATGAGAAAGGAGTGAGATAAAGGATATTTGTCCTTTAAATTCTTCATCCATTTTCATCTTCTAAATATTTAGAATAAGCTCCAGATAAAACCTAGAATTTGCCAATTCTGTCCAAGATAGCCTACCCTATCCTGTTTAGGATAACCTAAAATATATGACACATCTCTCATTTCCTGTAAGTGAGCAAGAACTACCCATAGTGAACAAAAACTGTGATTCCAAACTGGTGGTGGCCTCTGAACCCTTTGAGAGCCTTCTGGGGAGTCTGAAGAATCTTAGACTCAAGTGGTGATCAGCCAGAAATGGACCTGTCATTCCATGACCATATTTGCAAGGGGATGTTGGCTTGCATCGTAAGATACAGAACTAATTAAACTCATGTTAGCTAACCCAGGTCTAAGCATAAATCTCCAATTCCGAAAATAGAAAACTCACATTCCTCTGTAAGAACACTTTTCAAATTCATGTTGATTCCTCAGAGACACATTCCAAAGGCATGTGGTCTATCAACCAGCCTTTGCCAGTCCCTCATGAATTCTGCTAGGGAGAAATTCCCATTCCCCCCCGCTAACTTTGAATCTATAAATCTAGCTTAAGCAACCCAGAACAGAAGCCACACGGCGCAGCTTCTTAAATAATTAAACTTCATTCTAGCAGTCTTACTGCCTACAGTTATCATTAAACACAACAAAACGATTTTCTAAATCCCTGAAAAAGAGCATGGGTCCACCCCTCCCACCCTCTCGCCACATGTCCCACGTCAGAACAGCTTCCCCAGAAACAATTCCTGCAACAAACACAGTGTGATGCATCTTAGAGACACATCCACCATTAAAAGGGAGGAAGGACGAGGGAAGAGGAATGTGGATGCTACATTACAGCACCAGTACAAAGTAGTTAAGCACATTTTCAGTGACAGGAAAGAAACGACCAGACCCAGAAGATTAACCTGAAGTGACTTAAATAAATAGAACCCCACAGCCACCTAGTAAAAGCTACTACTCCACCCTGGGAAGTTACAATAAAGCAAAACACCAGCAAGGTGGGCAACATAAAAGTGGTGGTAGGATACATTCTTTGGGGGGGGAAACCACAGAGCTACCTTCTGCGGTAGCACTTCCTTCATTGGTCCAGTTTTATATCACTCTTTACATTCAGCATATTTTAAATGGAAAGGCTGAATCTGACCAGGGAATGAAAAGATCGCTTCTCTAGCTAGTCAGGTTCAGAACCCCACCCAGAAGCAGAAGAACAGCATGGTGATATACGGGTTGGTTTTCAGTGCAACCACCCAAAGCTTTCCTTGCACATTCTTCCATCAAAGTTCCCGGGGAGCTGGGGGTGAGGGAAGATTTTTAGAGGGGGGGGGTCCTCAGCTTGAAAGTGGCAGGTCAGTAAATGGAGGTGATTGTCCTTTGGATCACTCAGCAGGCAGTGAAATGAAGGAAGAGCTGTGATGAAGAAGCGCACAGCAAGATCCTTGTTTCCAGTGTTCCCCTCTCAACAGGGGCAAGTTCCTCCCTCTCTTCCCCATTCCTTAGACTCGCTGAATTTCAAACAGCTTTACATCCGTGTCATACCAGATAGGGGGATCCACATTCCTGAAGAGAAACAGAAGTTTGTTTTATTAGGCAAACACAAATCCCGGCGTTTTCCCATCTAGGATAGTTACAACGTTCACAAAACTTTAACAGATTTGCAAACGCATGAGGTCAACAGACACAAGTTGCTAAGGGCCACACTGTTTGTGATGTTCAGTCAACTATTTCTTCATTATTTTTCTGCTCTTCTCAGACTGGAAGCAGCTCTCCAGAGTCTCAGACATATAAAAGTATTCTACATCTACCTGTTTTCTGATCCTTCTAAAATGAAGATGCCAAAGATTTTCTTTTACAAAACAGAACTGTGGAAGATCAGTAGTGGTGAGGCTTCGTAACTCTTTCTCCTCCAAGGCCCCCCACCTTAAAAAAATTCCACACTCAAAAAAAAGATTAACAAATCAAAGTGATGCAGATCATCCAAACATATACAACTTGTGTATACAGTGTAAACTCACTGCTGCAGCTGGCTAAAAGTATATCCTTCCTATGCTGCTTCAACCTCTGAGATCCACTTGTAATCCATATAACAGAGATCGCAAGTACAAGAAACTGTGAAAAGATTTACTTGTCACCATGTCCATGCCTGCAGAAAGTTACACTGGAACAATTATCTCCACCCAGGCAATTATCTCCACCCATGGAGATAATAATTCTACATTATAATAAACTGTCTACCATTTCCTTACTGATATTGTTATAGCAACTGCAAGTTCCTTCATGGCAGTATTATTAAACTATTCCATACCACCAGGATGGGCAACCTGTGTTTTAATATACTGTTTAAATCCTGAAATTATCCGTCTTTAGCTGAGAAGGGGAAATATACACGCAGGTCCAGCACCCATGCCTGAGGGTAAAAGATCCAAAAAATGAAAAGGCAGCATTTCTTAAAGGTTCAGAACCGAACATTGAATAGATGCCTAGGGCTGAATAGACGCTTATTGTGAAGAGGATTTTTTCCCATTTCCCCAAGGTAACATGACCCATTATGGATTTTCTCTTAAATTTACTTTCCTGTATCTTAACCCCATGCTCTCCATACTATATTAAGGGCACCTGAGGAATAATTGTTCTCCCTTTTTATTTCCAATATCTAAACATTATTTTGAATTGCCGTTTTGTTTTCAAATTCTAAGCCCAGTTCAATACTAAATGTACGTTATTCTCAGATGCCGATAAAACCCTGATTACACTTCAAAGTGATCTTACTGAAAATGAAATGTCATTCTCTGTACAGAACCTAACAACATGGCTCATGACAGGCTTGGCATCCATTACTTTGTGCAAAATTTAAAATTCACAGCATAACTCCACCTCATGGTTATGAAGGCAGCCTTTAGTACCAACCACTTAACTGAAAACAAGGCAGGCCACTCGTCAGCAACATGCTATCAGTGAAGAAAAATGAATTTGGGTTGTTTTGGGCCGACTTACCTCAAATAAATAACTCCCCACATGTAAGTGCGGAACCACATAGCAGTGCCACAGTTAGCCTGGTATTTGCGGATCAGGATGGGATGAGGAACAGGAAGCAGCCCCACCAATGTGCCATGCTGCAAGAACTTCAGAATCTCAGACTCATCTGTGAGGCCCCTGGAAAAAGAGAGAACACTTAAATGGATGCTGCAGAAGAATAAACGTGACACGTGGCCCACAGAGTTTCCTTTTATTGGTGTGCACTCAAGTTCCACGGACAAGGGCAAGATGAAAGAGCATTAGAAATTCTCTAAAACTGCCAGGAATTCCCTGCAGAACATATTGAAGTGTCCAGTTATTTCCTTCAAAATGACACTAGTGTATTGGTCCAAGCTTGCTTTTACAATACACTAAGGGGCTAAATTACATACAACTCTGGAGCTCTGCGTCTGGAGGTCTAAGGCAATGTCCTTTTTTGTAAAAGCAGCCACACATTTCTAGCTGAGGTCAGGCACAGGGGGTGAAGGTACAATCCTTCCTACAGCTGTGATCTAGACTGCTCCTCTGGAACAGCTGTTGCCAACAGGAAGTTCTACATGTGGGCTAAAAAAAAAAATAAGTGAACAAGTTTCCCCTCCACAACTAACAGCCATTAAGGAATGAGGGTGATCTCAATAGGGGCCCCCCCACCATTGCAGTTCTAGTCTAAAACTGGACCCCGTGGCTCATTTTACAAATTGGGAGCTGCAAAGCAAAGAGCTCCAATGTGACATGCAGTTTTGGTCCAGTGAAGAATGTCAACTTTGCTAATAAATATCTTCATTCAGGACAAAGAACACCAAAGAGTTTTATCCACACATTTACAGGTATCTTTTTTCTGATTGTTAATGAGGTGACGGAGACTTGCCTATTAGAAAAATTGATTAGGACCATAATGCTTACGTTTACTAACTCAACATATGTTGATAGGATATTATCTCTTTGAATAAGGAAAATTGCACAGTAACATTACAGATTATGCATGAGATATCAGCCAGATTCAGGCTGGATCTAGACACATCAAAGAAGCGTTTCAGTTTAAAGCGTTATAAATTTAAACAGGGAAAACAGGTAGAGAAAAACGGGACTGCCATGTTGCCACCTGGTGGCACAATGTTATATTGCATATACAACGCATATACAGTGGTACCTCGCAAGACGAATGCCTCGCAAGACAAAAAACTCGCAAGACGAAAGGGTTTTTGTTTTTTGAGTTGCTCGCAAGACGATTTTCCCTATGGGCTTGCTTCGCAAGATGGAAATGTCATGCAAGTTTGTTTCCTTTTTCTTAACACTGTTAATACAGTTGCGACTTGACTTCGAGGAACAACTCATAGCACGCGGTGTGGTAGCCTTTTTCGAGGTTTTTGAAGACTTTGGTGATTTTTGAGGCTTTTCCAAAACTTTCCCGAAACCGTGCTTCGCAAGACGAAAAAAATCGCAAGACGAAAAAACTCGCGGAACGAATTAATTTCATCTTGCAAGGCACCACTGTAAGTCACTTTTCTTTACCAATCTAGCTGAGTCCATAG